ACACGGAGAAGATGCTGTGCCAAGCTCTCACACGACTTAATACCCCCAGAGATCTGTGATGCTGGTACTTCTCTTCCCATTGTGCACATAAGGAAACAGACTCAGAAAGGCTGAATCCTTGCCCAAGATCCCCTCCTCCTCAGTGTTAGATCGAGTGGGGAACATCACTGACGCCAAAATCCCCATGCTCTCCATTTGGATGACAGAGGTCTCAAACTCATCCGCCTTCGAGGGCCAGGTAGCCGATGTAAATCAGCGAAGCAGGCCAAGGGGAAAGCAAGAGGGAGCAGTGGGAGAGGTGAAGACTGGGGCATCCTCACCTCATCACAAGTCACTCACATTTACATTTTATTTTAATACACTGTCCACACCTAACCAGTCTGCTGGTCCAGCCGCATGTTTGAGACGTCTTGAGCAGGATCTGCATTCCTTTCTCGCAACTGTGCGATGCTGAGAACTCTGGAGCCTGGAAGGTTTGGGCCAGGCCACAAAAGCAACGTGAGTTAAAAGTTCCTAGGAAGGAACTATGTAATGCCTGCCAGCAGTGACTTGCAGAGCAAAAGGTGTCAGCTTAGCTCAGACAATCCCCAGTGGCCCACAGCTTGGGGTATTTCGTCCCCCAGCCAAACCCCTGCTCACTGGGAGAATGTGGCAGCTCTTATTTCAGCAAAAAATATAGTTAGCAACTTTAAGAGTAAATACGGCAGCAGATGCGGGTGGGGAGTGGGGAAAACGCCAACTGCATTTTCTGCTGAAAATCCAGTTGGGAATTTGTGCTGTGACCTATATTACTCTAGCTGCCACCCCCATAACTTTCTCTCTCCCCTCAAGGAGCCGCAGAATATGATGCATTTCCCCGGGCTGAATTACTCTGCGGAAAAACATTTTAATAACGTGCTAAACAACAGCATAGCAAATCACTTAAGCCTTCACCGACTTGCGGTCCAGTTCCACAGAATGAATTCTTAGATCCAAGCCTCCCTTCATTAACGCGCTTTCAAAAGAGTACCTGATGTTTCCCTGAGTATCTGCTAACATCTGCCACGTGTCCACCTTTCCCCGAAATGCCAGGAGGATGCAAACAACATGGGGCTCCCAAAGGAAGAGGGCATCGGGGCTGCTGTTCATTTGCTCACCACTTTGGGGGGCAGACTCTGGTCCCCACCTGGGCCAGATTGACACACACAGCTCAAAATGGAAAACAGCCCACTTCCTACAGTCCTACTTTCTAATTCAGACTGCTGCTGGCATTAGCAAGGAAGACAATGGGAGGCAGAGAGATTTAGAGAAAAAATTCAACCTGCTGATTCTTCAACTCTCAGCTTTGCGCAGATGGCAGAATACTTGGAAGTCATGATGCCCCTTGCAGAACACAGTGAAATACTGACACATTAAACAGAAAAAACAAAACAGAAAAGTGTGTGCAAAAGCAGGTCCCATCGAATGCTGGACTCCAGGCTGCACAAGCCTGAAAGCTTTAAGGAATATTTATGAAGAAAAGCATGAGCAAATTCTACCCATTAGCTAATTCCCCTGACTACCTTCCCTCTCCTGTCCCACATCGAAATGGGACCTCTACGGAAGTTCAGCAGTGGACTGGCTCACAGAACATATATGTGAGCACCGAGTGCGAGCCAAATACGCCACAGGTAACATGAGTGTCTCGTCTGCACATCCAAAGCCGTGTGATGGATATATGGAGAGGCTGTGTGAGCAGTGGGTAAGAGCCAGGACTTACCTGGGCAAGGCAGGTAATGTGAATTGAGTATATGAGAAAACAGCCAAACACTAACAGCAAATGGCAGGGAAGGCTCAGCTCAGTGTCCAGGAGACAACGGGAGTGGCTTTCAATGGGGACAGGGCAGCACTGCTCCTCTGTAGCCCAGTGTGGTTGAGGGAGAATGGGGGTGGGTATTTGTCTGCCCCAGCAGCTGTAACAAAATACCGCAGACCGCGTGGCTTAAGCAACAGACATTTATTTCTCACAGTTCTGGAGGCTGGACGCACAAGATCAAGGTGCTAGCCAATGTGGCTCCAGGTGAAAACTCTCTTCCTGGCTTGTAGATAAATGGCTGCCTTAGCGAGAGCGAGCTCTGGTCTCTCTTCGTCTTCTTATAGGGGCACTAATCCCATCGTGGGGCCCCCCCATCATGACCTCATCTAATTCTAATCACCTCCCAAAGGCCCACTTCCACATACCATCACATTGGGGGTTAGGGCTTCAACATGTGAATCTGGGGGGGACACAAACATTCAGTCCATAACAGAGTGTGACCAATTCTGATTCTTCACGAGAAGCTTGATATCTGATTTTTTTTTAATCTGACACTTTCTAATTTTTTGATGTTGGCAACATTTCAATTAAGAAAAACAAATAACAAAACCCCACCAGACTGGTCAAATAAAACAGGTTGGAGGGTCAGGCTCAGGCTCAATCCACAGGCTGTGGGTTTGTCACTCATGCCCCAAAACACAAGCTATGGCACCAAATAGACCAGGCTCCCCACGTGCTGGTGAGTGACCCTGGGGTCACCAGGGAACCTCTCCGGGCTTCACTTTCCTTATCAGTATTAGGTGGAACCTTATGAAATTGCCTTTTTGTTGGCAATTTCCACCTAACAGGCTCTCGGGAAGACTGCATGAGACAAGCAGGTGCAACATTAGGCGGGCGCCTACAGTAAATGCTCCACAAACCAGCGGGGGAGGGGAGAGGCTGGCCTTCGGAAACAAGTCCATTTGTGTTCAGTGACGAAAAGGGATCTTTAGGGTCCTGAATCAGCACTTGAAAGAACCAAGGAAATCTCAATATTTACAAGAATAATTATGCTTTTCGGGGTTTATTTCCTTAGTTGAGAGAGAGCTTTTTTGAGTTAGAATCTCTTAGGACGAGCCTCTGAGCTGAGATACAGGTCCACTGTTTCCTGTGGGCACAGAGACAGGAAGCCATCACGCCGAGGGTCACAGCATGGACAAACCTGGCTGCAGCTCACCTCCCACTGCCCCCAAGAGAGACAACCTGAAAATTCCAACCTGTAATCCCATCTCGCTCAAAAAAGATGGAGGAGGAGAGGGAAGCTGAATTTGCAACTGCGAGAAAAGCCCACAGGAAAAAGCTGTGTCAACTGGGGTCTAGACCGATGTTTAGTCAGAAGACTGGTGTCAATATTGTGTCATTTGCCACAATCTCCTACTGAAATTCTTTATTTTTTTTAAAGCCCATGAACTTGAACCTTCTGTTCTCTGTGCTAATTAAGCACAAAGGTTTCTCTCTCAGCTCTGATTAATGGCAACCAGTGCAGCTGAGACGGCACAACATGCCGAGATGCTTGCGTTAACACACAATTTTCACAACGCCGCACGCCCGTGTTTGGTAAACGCTCCACCAGAGGTTCCTGCACTGCCTGCAGTGGGCAGAGGGATACCAGCTCACCTGTGTGGGGCAGGGTTTTCTCTTCGTAGACTTGCGGACAGCAGCCTTTCTCAGCATCAGGGTCTTAAGACCAACCTTCTAGCTCAATTTTCAAGGGGAGTTTAGCCAAAATGCATAGGACTCAGTAAGAGGTTAATTTCTAACATGCATCACAGGCCAGGCAGCTGCCTTTAAAAGAACAGAACTCGTCTCATGAGCTATTGTGGCACTTTCAAAACAGCAAGATCAAAGCCCTGGTATCACAAATAGCTGAATGAAAGAAAAATACAGTTTTCCATACAGTGTATTCTATTTGGAAAAAAAAAAGGCGTCTTTTTATCACAGGCAGCACAGTACAATTATATCTTCTCACAAAAGCCCTGAAACAATTAGAAAAACGGATGCAAGCTGCTGGGCTACAATTTCAAAGGCCCTAAGCAGGTAAGGGGGGCAGCCCCGCCGACGTCTGTCAGTTGGAAGTTCAACTTGGAAATGCCAGGCAGTGAGACGCCGAAGGCAACCCCACGGACAGAAGCAGAAACAGGCCCCCTGTTTTGAGTTACAGCATCACGGTGCACGTGGAACAGATCTCAAAACCCTCAGTGTGCCATTTTAAAGAGCTACAGTGAAAGGAAACTCTTATTTTATCCCTGCAAATTGGTGTTTCTCAAACGACGAGTCCCAATCCTATTTTTGGGGACCCCCAGGGTTGCTCTATGAATTTTTACATCTTGTGTTTCCATTATGGTGATAGTATTTTACAAATAACAGAATTATATTCTATAGCATCTGAAGACTATAAAAACCAAGAACTGCTTTATCATTTTAGCTCCCTAATTCCAAGGATGTAAATGGCTCAGGCTAATGAGATCTATTAGAAGAGTAGACTAATCAGTGATTCATGGCACCTGGCCCCAGGTGCCGCACAATGTGACCCGAGAAAGGTGGGGGATGGGGTCAGCAGGCAGTCACGCTGGCGTGGCATGTGGCACTCGCAAGGGAACCTGCTGCACACCAATGTGAGCAAAGATCTGGTTTTAGGAAAACGACAGCATCCATTGTATTAATTGACAGTTGTGAACTGTAATGATTTTGTAAATGCTTAACATGTAAACGTCTTTAATTTTTTTTTACTTTTATAAGAGATATAAGAAGGAACTTATACCTAGTTTTAAGCTTGTTCATATTTAAGTAATATTAATATGAAAATAATTTAAGTCGATACCAGTGGGAGCCTATGAGAATTTTTCTTCGGATTCATTACCCAAGCTGAAGAAAGACAGACCATTTTAGTTCTGGAACACCTGTGAGCTGTAAAGAAAATGCATCTTTCCTCTGATCAAAATGTACAGAACTGTAAAATCACACAGCTCCGCATTTATTAAAAACCTCAGATCTACAACACTCATTTGCAGACTCGCTCTTTCTTAAGCCCTATAGGAACTCCAAAATCTCCACGTCAGTGCCTCCCACGGCTCCTGGGCCCAGCTGGGTCCCAGGGTGTCTAGGACAGACACGTGTCGCTGTACGACCTCAGAAGAGACACAGGAGTGCGTGCTGGGCAGAGCACGTGCACAAGAAGGGTACTCACACGAAGAAGGGCACGAGCTGAACCAGAGTCTCCTTCATGGGGCTGGCAGCAAACTCGGGCACCATCTGGATGACCTTGTTCACGACGCTGCGCAGGTAGCTCTGGAGCAGCTTCCTCCGTTCCTCCACAAACTTGGCGTCCTGAGAAAACGGACAGGGGTGCTCAGGGGTGCTCTCCTCACCCACCCACAAACAACCCCGTAGAACATACAACCATGAGTCATGTTTACTGAGCCAGTGCCACGTGCTTGACACAGGTGATCACCCTGAATAACACGGAAGATGCTCGATATTATTAGGTGGGGAAAACAGGTCCATAAAACTACCTACAGTGTGTCCCATGAACGAATGAAGTCTGAGCGACCAGGGCTGCTATTTACCAAGCACCTGTGATGTGGTGCTGGGTCTAGGGACAGAACAGTGACCACAAATGGTCACTGGTGGGGCCCTGGTGGAGGTCACAGGCCAGTGGGGGAGACATAAACGAATCCAGTGATCCACAGGTCAGTGTACAATTATTAATCACACTAAATGCCACATTCCAGAGAGGGTGCTTAATTTTGCCTTCACAGAAACTTTCTGAAATATGGATCAGCTGCCGTTAAGAAATATTTTATTAATAAACAAACAAATTCTACCTTCTCTTGAAAAACTCAGAAATGTGGCAACACGGCCCCCCCTCACAGGGCCATGCCAGGCACAGGGTCCCAGGTCTGTGCAGTCTCCACACCCCCTGCTCACGGGCTCCGTGCTCGGGACCCTCCTCACCCACACTCCCACCCACCGGAGCCCCACGTCTGCTTGGCCCCGACAGCAGACAGGCAGGGCTGGCTTCCCCGCTGTGCGCCCTGCACAGTCACGCAGGGCTGGAACTTGGACCTGCGTGATGATCTGCTGTCCATATCTTGAAAGTCTTAATAATTTTGGAACAAGGGGCCCCACATTTTCATGTGGCCCAGGGCCCCACAGATTCTGTAGCCCGTCCTGCTCATACACATCTGCACTGGGGGACCTTGGCTTATAATGAAGAAACCCTGGCCAGTGTGGGGGCAGGAAAGGCTTTCCTTGAGGAAGTGATGCTCCTTCTAGACTGAAGGCCAAGCGGGGTGAATAAGGGAACAGCAGAGAGAGGGCAGCAGGAGAAACAGGGTCATTCGTCCTCACGAGAATAGGAGAGGTCTCTCTGATTACTCTCACATGACAAATGAGGAAACGGCGGCCTAGAGAGGGGCTGGGTAGCTCACCCACGAGGTCCCACAGATGGAATGGGGCACTCATCCCAACCCCCCCAACCCCCCCAGCATGCAGCCGGCCCCAGGCAGGGCTCAGTAACAGTCTGAACGAGGCCACGTGCTCAGAGGCACCGGAGAATGCACCCAGTATGTGCCCTGGTCTCAGAGGAAGTCCTGCTAAGGACTCGAGCATGGCAGGGAGTCTTTCTTAAATGTTGCAAGATTTAGCAAATAATAATGCAGGATGCCTAGTGAAATTTGAATTTCAGATAAACAATGATGATTTTTCAGTATTCCTAACTCAGTATTCAATAACTCATAATTCATAATTTTTCAGTATTCAAGTATGTCCCATACAATAAAACCTTTCCATGTAATGTTTGGGACACACTTATACTGAGAAATTATTCATTGTTTATCTGAAATTCTAATTTCACTGGGTGGCCTGTATTTCATCCAGCAACCCTCCTCCAAGCACCAGGTGGGAGGAAGAAACACGGAGCATCTGCTGCGAGCAGAGGTCCCCGGGCCACTTCAAGGTCATATAGCAAGGTATTCTCGCCCAAAGCCACCCCCTGATGAGCTGCCTCAGTGGGAGGGGTGGCAGCACTCACACACTGCCACTGGCCACTCCAACTTCACGGCCAGCGCAGTCCCAGGCCAGGAGCTAAAACCTCCTGCAGCCTGGCGGGAGATGCGCCGTGTGGGAAGAGGGGAGGCATCCGGCCAGGAGAGCTACAGGTCCTCGGCCCAAGCTGGAGCCACTTGCGCTCCACTCACTGGTCTGAACGCCACGTTCTGCTCCGTGCTCTCCAAGTTTCAACTCATCATTAAGCAATGAGACAGCCTTCCCTGGGAAGGTGGTTAATATGCCAGGTTAGCGCTGGCTGATTGTCATCTGCAGGGAGAACCCTCAAGGACTGCTTGAGAGGCTCTGCTGCAGGAGGACAAGAAGGGAGTTCATCAGCCCTGGAAGAACTTGGGGAGATTCCTTCTCTTTTGGAGGGAGGATGCTCAAAACACTCTAAAGCAACAAGGAGAGACTGGAGATGGCTCTCCACACTGCTTGTGGGGTGGGGCTGGGCTATAGGGTCTTAGGAAGGTGAGGATGCCCAAAATGATGGTCGAGGATCCCACCCAGGAGTCAAATGTGCCCATTTTCACTTGACTAGTGTTCTCACCCAGGTCCCAGGGCAATAGTGACTGGGGAGAAAGGTTTTCACCCTGGAGGAATCCCAAATCCTTCCCACGTATTCATTCCTCGAGATAGCTAGTCCCTGGACACCCCGGCCAGCTCCTGAGAAAACCTGACACGGTAGCCACCTGAACTTGACATCCTAGCGACTTGCACTCGAGCTATTCAGAACATGCACAGATGTATTTGTGGAGTCTTTATTCATGCTCTGTGCCCAGTGCTTTCCTTGCACTGCATCCTTACAACACATCTGAGGCTGTAGACTGAAGCTCAGAAAGCCTTAGGAACTTGCCCGAGGGCTCAGAAGCTGGAGGCGGCTGAGCAGGGTCCCAGGTCTTCAACCGGCTGCAATTAGAGCTGCCCTCAATCCAGAAGGCATTCTTCAATTTACAGAAGAAAAAGCTATGGGTTCTCTAAACTGCAGGCTTCCCCAAACCAGGATTCAGTTCACAGAACTGCCACTTGCAGGTCGGGAAGCCACTGACTGTGTGAAGACAAGGCAGCCTGTCACCCTCTCACCTGACTGCCAACCTCTGCCAGGACGCTGCTTCCCTCGGGTCTCAATCTGATCCTGGAGGTGCCGACACCGCGAGTTGCTGCACCTGACCTGGCAGAACGCAGCGGGGCAGGGAGGATCTCAGAACAATTCATGGAAGGCCATGTTCTTTCCTGTGACTGTCATTTCATTTTTTTCCTTTTTTAATGAAAATTTCAAAATATGGGAAGAAGCAGAGTAAATGTGTAATGAATCCCCATAACCCTTTATCTAATCAGGTCTTAACCCTTTCATATTTGCTTCATCACTTTTATGTTTTTTGCTAAGGTGTTTTAACGTAATTACAGTCCTGATGTTTCACCTCTAATACTCCAGTGTGTATTTATAAAACACTAAGAACATTTTCCTATTTAACCACAGTACCATTATCACCTCTGATGAAATGCATGATACTTTGCTGGTGTTCTCTCATACCTCATCTGTATTCAAACATTTGAGTTTTCAAATGTGCCTGCTGCTTCTGTAATTTTTAACAAGGGATTGTAGTCCATCCCAGAACCAAGCTGGCAATCCTTCAGCAGGCTGAATGCAACACTGTCCAGAGTGGATCCCCACCTGGGGATCAGCCTGGTTCTGACCTCTTAGGAGGATGGTGTTGCTTTTTCTACCACCTGCAATACAAAAGGCTAATGGCTTGTATGGCCTAAAAACATTAAAACCAGGATAATTCTGCATAAAATCCAGATTCCTGGCCTCCCTTGAAAAATGGCCCTCATTAGCCGAAGCATAGTGCCACCATCCCACGCAGCCTGCTCCCCTTGGTGCCACCACCTGCCTGGCCTCTGTGGGACCCCTAATTTATATCACTTGCACAGACAGTAGGATTGGCTGAGGCCCTACAAAGCATCCAAGAGGCCACCCTGAGAGATGGTCACAATACGAGATGACATTCCCTCAGGCAGGCAGAGTGACCTGCACTGCCATTTGCCAGCTCTATGGTCATGCAGCTAAACCACATGGAGCCTCGGGTTTCCCATCTGTAAAGTGGGGATAAGGAGGTGCCTACCTCATTCATGATAACCTAGGCTAAGCACCTGGGAGCCAACATTGCCTGCCAGGCTCTGTGACAGACGCTGATGATTCATGGATGTTCAGCCAGGATGCTTTTCCTCAAGGAGTTTCTATGTGTTTGGGGTGGGGACAGGCAGGTAGATGGTGAACGCCCAAACTGGGGACAAGTGCAGGAAGTTTGCATGAGGAACGCGGAGAGAGTTTCACTCCGAGGAAGCAACTCCTGAAGATGCTGCTTCAGCATCTCTTGGAGGAAAGACGTCGGTCAGGTGGCCTAGATGGGCGCCCTCAATGGGGGAAGGGCATGCCAGGTGGAGGGAACAGCAAATGCAAAGGCCATCAGCAGGTAGGCCAGTGTGGCTGGGCTTAGTGGTTCCAGAGGGATAAGACTGTAGCAGCAGCAGGAGTCCAATCACGCACAGCCTTGTAGACCATGGAAAGAAGCCACGAAGGTGGGATGCAGGAGGTGCATGATCTCATAAGCATTTAGATAGACTATCATGGAGGAAATAGGCTGTAGGCAGCCTTAGGCAGAGAGATCTTTCAAAGATCTATCACGACACCCTCCTGCTTGGAATTCTTCAACGGCTCCCCAAGAACTCTGTCCACTTCCCAATATGTACATCTAAACCCTTAACATGGTTCACAGGAACCTTCATGATGTGGCCCCAGCATGCCCCGCCAACCTCACTTCACGTTTACCCTGTCGCCACCCTCCTCCCACCCTCAACACCGACAACACGTCAGCCCCTGGCTTTCTTCTCATATCCTTCACACCATCTCCTGATGTCTTCAGACCTTTCCCAGGCTGTTCCCTTGGCCTGGAATGCCTTGCCATTTAGGTCTCTGCTCTTGAGCCCCCACCTCCGAGAGGCCTCCTGGACACGCTAGCTAAGGTTGCCCAGGCACGCCCTGGCCCCAGCCCTGCCCCTGTTCTCGTTTCTTCACAGCCCTTACAGCTCCTGCAATGGTCTCACTGGTTCATTGTGTGCCTCTTGCTTCCCCACCTCTCCTACTTGATTTTAAGTCCCAGGAAGGCAGGGACCTTATCTGTCTGTTCACCCCTGTATCACCAGAGCCTAACCGAGTGCTGGAGATCACCAGAGGTCCCATAAATATTTGTTGCAAGAGTAAATAAATGTGGGGG